GCCTATGCTGGCCTCAGCAATACGGTATTGGTCAGTTGAAGCGTAAAGATGTAAGGGACTTGCATGTCACTACTGCTGGGCCTCATTTGGGCCTAAATGTTAAGATTTGGTTTTCGACAAACTCCCCCTAGAAGCCGAAGGCTATCACGAGTATCGTGCGTGCACGGAATTCAGTTGGCAATATTGACAGTCTCTGGGCGCACCACGGCAAAACAGTCGTTTTTTGTGTCGGAATCCAAGGTCGACTGTCTCCCACTGCAAAAAGTACATACTTCTGTACTGTCTGGGTACTTTAAGCACACCGTTGGCGTTCAGTTCTGTCTAATTTGCTCGAAGATATGGTAATACTTGACTCGAGGCTCATCCTTTTTTTCCACGTTTAGGTATTTCAAAGCAAAAGTAGTTGACTTTGATCATGAAATACGTCCTCAAAGATTGAAGCCGCTCTGCTTTAATTTGGTGTTGGAGCGTAAGTGTGAACGGCAAAGATGTCTGTCGAAGTACTTATACTTGCTATGTAAACAATCGGGCAGATAAATTGGATAAATTAACTTACTAATCATTAAATGCCTCCAGGATACGTATTCCTCATAGTTTACGCATTCAATAAATGAGTTCTCCTGGATACGAAGATCTCTGTAAACAATCGCGAACCCCTTAAATACAGCATGAGCTGCAATTCGAATTTAGGAATATACCGCCATCTCAAAACTCTGTTCAATATGTGATCCCACAGTGAGATGATATCGAGAATTTTAAGATCCTTAGGCAACTCATATGCTTAGTAAGTTTGCAATCACATTGGCAAATTAATAATCTTCGTTACACATTCAGTAAACGATCTCATGAAATGCTAACTAACATTTTGAAATACGTACCAGATTTAACAGGATTATTTGGGTGGGATCATAGTTTTGATCATTTTGCGGAAGGCTCGTAAGTTTTTGCTGATAAGACATGATGGACGCCTTGAAATACAATTCTTTAATATAGGGTTGCAGAAAGCACGTGTGGTAAACAACTGTTTTTCGGAAAAAAAATTGGTTTTTTTTCATTGATTCTCGATACCCCTATATGTTTAAATATGGTTTGTGGAAAACAAGGTCAAAACAAGCCTTTCTTGTACCCATTTGGCAGGAAATCACATCCTCTGCTAATTCTATGCTGAAAGAAAGGATATTTTAAAAAGCTCTTTCCAATTAACAAGTACTTTTGAGTCGTTACGTTTCTGTTTGTGGTTGAGAGTCTGCAAGCTTTATTTTTTTCCACGTAGAGTAAAGCATAAATTCCTTGCTGCAGTTAATAAACTATCTTAAAGGAGTTCTTGAACTTCTACAAATGCACACCTCTCTTAGGAGCATTTATAAATGTACAAACACGATGCCGTTTAAATGGACCTTTTAAGATCATAAAAATAGCATCACTTCACACTTTTTAAGACCTACAGATATCCTTTGTTTGAGCATAAAATTAGGAGAAGACGTGATTTGCTAGCAACTGCGTACATTACTTATTTTATGGCTGTTTCCCATAATATATATTTAAATTCGTAAGGGCATTGAAAATTTATCTGCGGAATTCATACTACTTAAATAGTCATGTTACCGAATGCGGTCGGAAGGAAGGGCATTCAAAAGCCAGCAGTAATTCGTTGCTGAGATATGTAGTGTTTGTGCAGCAGGATAATCAGTATTACAACTTCCTACTCTTAAGCGTATTTCACAGTTTCGGTTGAAACTGAGTGGGATTGTTCCCTGACTGTGTTTCTCAAAAGATAATGCTGCTATTCTTTGTTTGTATGCGACCGTACTGGGTATTTAAAAGCCTTTTTACCGCCCCATGAAGTTTCTGCTTACGTAAGATGCAAGCGAAAATAAAAGGTTATGTCTCTTGAAAGGCAATCTAAAAAGTGGAAGGCACTTTCAGGACCGCTAGACTGGCTGTTTCCTCCTTGTATTATGTTCTTTCTGAATAAAAGGAATCATTCCCAAAACTGTGGCGTTAAGCACTGCGCAACTGTTACGCAACAGAGCGTCTTTATCGAATTGCTATGAGGGTCGACCAAAATTTCAGGAAGCACCCATCCTTATACGCCAGTCTTTGGATGTCTGTGTGCTCAGAAGTGATAGCAGAGCGAAAGGTTAGCTTTTTCCTTACGATGTATAATTGTCACTGACGATAACTACTATACTGGCATGCCTCTGTTTTTTTTTTCATGAAAATCGTTTAAATAAAGACTTCAACGGTGTTCTACACCTTTAAACATTGGCATTCCATACTCTGATCCAGAGAGCCCTGCATCAAGTATTTAACTGCCGTAAGACCACCTGTCGTTGCTCAGTTAAGCGTCGACTGTATCTCGTTCGTGAATGTCTGCATATTTAAACAGTGTAAACTTATTGTCTTTTTTGGTCCTATTTCAGGGTCCTTGAGGGTGGTTATGAGTCCGGTTTCCGCAGAGTGAAGCCCGAGGAGTACAAACCGCGTCTTCTCCGTTTCTGCCAGGAAGGCAGGATGACGTACATCAAGGAGGTTGACTACACCAAGAAATCTGTCAACTCCGGTGACGTTTTTGTCCTGGATCTCGGAACGAAGGCCTACCAGTTCAATGGATCAAAGTGCAGCCCATTCGAGAAAAATAAGGTATTTGTGAAGGGTCACCTCCGTGCTGGTATCAGATTTTTTTGCTAAAATCACGACAAGGAAGTCAGGCATCAATCAGTTGACTCAAAAGTAAACACATTCTCTACCCATCTGAGTAAAAAATAAAACAGTTCTATTTCCGCCTGGCGCTAAGACAGAACCTGTCATGTAAAATCGTCAAAGTGACATCGAACTGCCTCGGTCCAACAGGAGTCGCCGTCTTCCTTCCTTCCTTAAGACATACCGTACGAGAGACACGTCATTTTGTAAAAAATCACACCACAGGTTTCGGTTTCCAAGACTATGCCTCCGAATTAGGCTTGGTGCATTAATTAATAATTCGACAAGATATTGGAATTTCCGCTTTTAAAGTGGGCAGAAAATCGATCTGTCTGCAAAGTCAGAAATTCAGTGAATCTGTCTCAGCAAGACATTCCTGGCTCTGTATTTTTTCGTTCTCTTTTTAGGCAGCAAGTTTCCTACAGGACTTGGAATCCACAAGACACGGTCGTTGTGTTACTGAAGTCCTCGACGAAAGCAGCATCGATCAGCGAGTAAGTCGCAAAGAAATCCCTTGATATTTTACTGTTCCTCGGCGGGAGAAAACCGTGGGAGGAAAGAGTAACGATTCTGTGGATCTTAAAAAACTTTATCTGGTAATTAGGTTCTGAGTGGGTGAAAGGAGAATATTTAATGTTACGATTGTCGGGCCCAAGTTATTTTTGGTTAGCCGTCAGTAATTTTACAACACAGTTTGCAAAGACAACCTACCATTTCGGTAATTGATTGACTCTACTCTCAATAATTTACCGAAATACTTTCGCAAAGTGTAATTTAAGGGCAGACGACTTTATGCTATTGAGGCAGAGAGCGGTGTGAACGTGTTTATAAAGTTGTAGTCGTTTGGCCTGAAAACACGTTTGGCCCTAGAGTCAAAGCCGGACCTTCTAACTTATTTGGGAGATGTTTGAGTTGGCTTTCTTGGGAGAAGTTTGAACGCAATACAACCAAAGCAACAGTTTTTTTTTCGAATTTCACCGGACATTCGGAGGGTAATTAAACACCTATCAACCATAGTCTCAACAATAAAGGACCAAAAACTGGAGGATCCTCCATGCGTCTGCCGATCCGCATATCATAACTGCTTTTAAGGCAGTTATTTTGTTTATTCCAACTTTTCCTTAAAGCAGACTTATTCTAGCTTACCCCTATCTTTCCTCTGTGTTCCTGGTAGCTTTGAGTCTATTGTATTTTTCTGGTTTTTACAAAATGATGCTCAGCCCAGTTTTTTGCGTCTCCAGGCGTTTAATCTGATGATTTTTTTGATGAGCATTGTAAATTTCCCCATAGTAAAAAAAATGAGAATAAATACTTGTAAAAATATTCCATAGCCTCACCTGTTTGCGACAGAGATATATAGTGCAGTGGCTTAAGTTAATAGATAAACCCCTTGCCGCTGTAATCCCCGGGCCCAGTTCCGTGTATTCTGTTCAGAGGTAGCGGAGAATAAGTTAGAGGAAACCGACAGTGGGACGAGTACACAATCAGCCGCGAGAGAACCGGCGTCCAGCGTCCGAAGTGTGAGAGCGCGGGAGTCATCAAAGCGTCGACAGTGCGATCATATATTATTAAAACCACAGGGAGATGATTTGCCGACAGGCAATGGTG